TTTTCTGAAACTAAATAGACTAGAGCTAGAATAGAATTAGGTAGCATTAAATTGAATTTGAGTTAGAGCTAAGATAGAACTAAATTAAAACCAAATTTCAACTAAACTTGTATTGAACTATAACTATAACCTACTTGAAATTAGATGAGAGTTGAATTAGAAAGGAATTGGAATTAAAAATAGAGGTTCGCCAGAATAAGATGTAAAACGCTTGAGCTATAAGATGCACAAGCCGAGGAGGCTTCGAAATTACAAAGCCGAAGCAAATGCAACAAGTATTGAATTAGAACTACAGCTTACACAGATTCATAACTGTTTCATGTAAATTGAAAGGTGTCATTACAGTTTCATGTCAAGCTGATTGGACATGCAATTGGCAACCACATTGATACCAATCAGAAGTTAATGCACTCAGACTTGTATATAGAGATGTGGACAAGGACACAGGAAGTGTTGAGCTCAAACGGTTTCAGATGTAAGCAAAAAGAACAGATGCCTTGAGATGATAAGTAAGCTCAAATGCTAAAACACAAAAACCTTGGGAAAACCAAACAAACAAACAAAAAACATTCTCAGAGACTCTTGTCTGGACCCCCCAAAATCAAAAAAAGAAACAACAAAAACAACTTGGGAAAACAAAAAAAGACAATTCTGGGGAAGTCTTGAGGAAAAGAGGGTTGAGACAAGAGTGTCTGAGAATTGTGTTTTCTTGTTTTTTTTGGTTTTCCCATTTTTTCTGATTTTGGGGGGTCCAAACAAGAGTCTCTGAGAATGTTTTTTTTTTGTTTTGGTTTTCCCAAGGTTTTTTTGTTTTTTTGTTTTTTCTGATTTTGGGGGGTCCAGACAAGAGTCTCTGAGAATGTTTTTTTTGTTTTTGTTTCCCAAGTTTTTTTGTTTTTATTTTTCTTTTTCTTATGTGTTTTTGATCCTTTATACTGTACATATTTATGAGTGTTTTTTAGTCGTGACTGTGGCACCAATGCATTTATCTAGCATTTACCTAAAATTTATGGAAAACCCAAACCCAGGCCCCATGGCCACCCCTTCTGGAAAAAAATCTTGAAAATAGTGATAATCGTTTGCTGAGGGATCTGACGGTGACAGGTCATGGGACATCGGACACAGTCAGCTGATATCCTACGATTGTAAGGTACTTGGTTGCAGTCCGCTGGGTAAGGTCTGACGCAGAGTTCAGTCCTCCTCGGAAGGTGTTGGCCTCGGTTTGTCTCACTCAATCACAAATGGATTGAGGCACACAAATGCACAAACAATACAAGGCACCAGTTCCAAGCTTGCAACTAGTTCAGTGCTCATATCATCATATCATATCCGCACCCACAAAACTCACGAAACAGAACTGCACATTCTTGCCCCCTCTGACAAATGAGGTCATTTGGCGCTCTATCTTCCCTTTTTTCCCCGTTCGTTGGTTTATCACCTCAGTCGCTGGACCCCTCCCAAACCACCGCGGCGTGATCCACTTTAAGAGACTTTCACAGCGGAGACCTGTTGCCTGCTTTTGATCCACCACAAGCGGTACTAGTAGTAAGGCCCTTAGCTACTAGTAGCGTCTTGTTTCTAGTAGTAATGGCCTCCAACCTAATAGCGATGGCCTCCACCCTAGTAGCTTCTTGTGACGTCTTGTGACTAAGAGCAATGCACTTGTTGCTAGTAGCGATGCACTTGTTACTAGTAGCTTCGTTTTCTTCCCAATCAGGGTAAACTTTTGGGTGAACAATCTACTTCTTCGGACGGATCAAAGCTCTCCGTACCTCCGTCACCTGGCGCTTGCGCTCGTTCTCGGTGCCCCAAACACGGACGTGGGCACCGCCATCTCGGAGGGCGATGCCACCGAGGCACTCACCAGGCCTCGCTCGCAATACTGGCCAGGTGCCGACATGTGTTTGTTTTTTTTGTCAGGGTTTCAGAAGCAGCCTGTGCAGCAGTTCGGGTTGACCGGGTTGACCCTCCCAAAAAAGGAGGTGATGGACTCCCCAAAATGATCTCCTGGACGACTGGTTTTCGGATGATTCAAGTTTCTATGAAGCCATCAACTTCCATTAAACCTGGACTTTGCTAAGCATCGGAATCTGCTGTCCATGGGGTAAGCAAATCTCAGCTGTTCACCACGCTACATTGAGGCATGAAAAGGAAAGTTGCACATTAGACGACCTTACTCGGAGCTGGCATGTGACAGCAAGCATGTGACAGCATTATAGTTTTCTTTTTTGGGCTTGCCCCCCTCAAATCGAAACAAGTTCCCGGTCATTCCCTACAAATGCCGCTACAAACCCTTTTTGGAACCAGTGAAGTTGACCTCACAGCTAAAAAGCCAAACACTTGAACAACTCATGACAGCTGAGCTACACTCACAGGGACTCCCACCATCTGACGGGGACGACCACGATCGTCACGATCGATTCCATGACCGCCTGCCGATTCCATGACCGTCACCGGCTGTTCCACTGGTACCGTCTCCAGAGTCGCCTCACGAGCGAGACCAGCGACGGACGAGTCGCCGCGAGGTCGCCGCGACGTCGCCCACTTCAGCGGTCCAATGGTCGCCGCTTGAGAGAAAATTACACCGCTTTAGCGAGTTTAATTGATGTGTTTTTTGTCCCTTTAGTGCACCATTGCTTCACTGATTGCCTGGTGTCATGACCTGCTCAAGTACCTGGCTGCCAAAGCCCACTCTATATCAGGATCGATCATTATGTATCATCATATTCAAGATTAAGATTCCTGCTTGTGTGAACCACGTGAATTCAATTCCCTTGGCTTTCAACTCTAGCTCCAGCCAGTGTTCTCAAAAATACCGCCTATGAGGCCTTTAAAGATGCTTTGAGTGAAGTACCCGGTCGGTGCCAAGCATGCAAATCAGTATATGGACATAAAAAGGCGACAGACCCCAACTGCAGCCGCTTGGGTCCAGGAGGCGGTGGTCCCAGTCTGGTACTGGTCCAATGCCCCAAACAGCCAAAATGGAAACGCATAAAACCGTCCTTAAATGAACAACCATGAAAAACCTAAATTTAGATAGACCCCAAGCCAACCAATCAACCCAAACCAGAAATAAAATCCACAGAACCATAACCATAGAATACCCAATCAAGCTGAACCTGAAGCTTCCTGGCTCACCCACCAGCCCAGTACCTCTTAAAACACCGGCCTCCTCTACTCCATGGGGCGATGTGGGCGAAGCCATCTGGGAGGGAACCATGTCCACTGGCGAAGACCTCAGGGGAGTGGAGAAAACGTCTTGGTCAATCCTGGGAACCTGCTTTACAATATGGATGCACCGGTGTGTATGCGGCAATCGGGAGATCTGGGACCTCTCAGGAAGGTTGGGAAATAGACCAGTCTACCGTCTACCCATTCATTGCGTTGATTGAGGGGTCTCCCTATGACAATACACACCCGTATGATCCCATTATGAGGTCAAAAGATTCTAATGAACTCATTGATGGCCAACGCACCCTGACGACCGACCAAGTCGCCGAAGATTGTAATTAGGAATGAGGAAAATGTATCCAAATCACGGTTTTCCCGTATCTTGATACTCACTGTTGGCCACAAAGAACAGCAACTGCACTCCCTTTGAGCTAGGTGCCCCACGTTAAAGGCACTCATTAACCCATTTGTGAAAACATCAATTTTGAGAGGGCCGTGTTGCGGGCGGCAGGAAATTGAGACAAATGTTATTGTTTTTTGCAAATCCTAAATGAAATGAAACCAGGTATGAACAGATTGCATTTTTACGCACATAGTGCTTCAGGAAAAAGTAGGAACCAAAATTAGAAATAGAACTGGACATGGAATAAAACAATTACAGTACTCTAGGACTAGAAGATGAAAAGGAAACAATGAATAACAAATGAACAATTCTTTTCAGTTTCCTTTACACAGGATAAATGGATATATTTCCTTGCATTTCCCCCTTGAACAATGATCAATTCCTTTCATTTTTTGTTAAAACATATCAATTCTGCTCATTACTTTGCAAAGGGAAGTGAACAGAATTTATCATGTTTACAGGGAAAAACACATATTTTTTAGAAAAATGAAGGGGATGAGTCCTCTTTAAAAGGAAATGAAGAGAATTAATCATTTATAGAAGGAAAATGAAATGAGTTAATACTTTTTTGAAAGAATTCAAGGAATTGATTATAACCAATTGGTAAAAACCATGTTGAAAACAAAGCATTGATCGTTTTTGCTTGAAGGATTTTTATGTTAAAATTGATTCATTCCTTTCTTGCCCTTTAAAGGTGTCCTTTCATTTTCTTTTTTAACCATGATGATTCCCGTTCATTTTCCCTTTCGGTCATTCCTTTCAATTTAAACTAAAAATGGTCATGTTTTCTATTGTTTTCATGTTTAAACAAAAAGGAATCATAATTTACAGGGAATATGAAAGGAATTAGCCATGGTTAAAAGAAGTTTCCTTTGAAACGCGATCACTTCCCTTCTTTTTGGAAGGGCATGAATCATTTTTCAATCGGGAAATTAAAGGAATTACTCATGTATAAGAGGAACATGAACGGTGCTAATCATGTTTTCAAGGGAACTAATTGGAATAGCAACTTAAAGAGACAAGGACGAGGATTCATCAGTACTAAAAAGGAAAAATGGAAGGACTTAGCAATTCCTCTCACCTTCCCGTTTAATGTTTGAACAAACAAGAATCATTTTCAAGAGTGAGATGAAAAAGAATTTATAATTTTGAAAAAGGCTGTCCCTTTAAACCTGCTCACTTCCTTTCATTCTTAAACGGAATGAAACATGTTTAAAATGTTACATGAAAGGGATTGCCATGTTTCAAAGGAAAAATCATTGTTAGAAAGAAAACAGAAAATTAGCTTTTTGTGATTGAAAATAAAAGGTAACAATCAGATTTATAAAAAGGAAACACAAATAAATACTATTTCGTGAACAGAAATCAACGGAAATAACAATGTTTAGAAGGAAACAACCGAAAATAATCATTGTTAAAAGGAAAGGTAAAGGAAATATTCACTTTGAAAAGGGATAATCTATGTTTTAAAAGAACATAAGAGGAAATAGTAATATTTAAAAAGACAATACAAGGAAATAATCATGGGACACAAACTGGAAATAATAGTGCTTTAACAGGAAAATAAACCCATAAAATGAAACAATAAAATAGTCATTTGTTTAAAGGACAGAAAAAGGAAATAATCAGGTTTTAAGGTAAATAGAATTAAAAACATCAGCTTTTAAGGGAAAATAGAAGGACATAAGTAATAGTCATGTTTTAAAGCAACATACAAGAAAAGACATGTTTAAAGAAAATGATTTGATCATGTTCAAATGGAAAATGGGTGACCGGACCTATTGGCTTCCTCTCTGTTATTTTTGGACAGTTGCACTAGTTTGCCTATTTTTACTATTGTTTAAACTGGGGGGCGGCCAGAGCTCAGAGCCCGGACTGTGGCATGCGAATCATTGAGAAAAACAAAAAAACTCAAAAAAATCAAAGATCTGGCAACTAGTCCCGAGATCAAACTAGTTGTGGAAACATTGTTTGTTGTTTCTTTATTGTTTTTCTTGAGATTTTTTTCACAAGAACTCAGATTGAATAGGATTTCCTGAGAAGTCTTGCTGTGAAAACTTTTGCTTTTACATTAAGTATGATTAATCCAGATACATCTGTGCTTCTAGAGTGCAGCAGGCAAACGCAACCAAATACAGGCACACATCCTCTCATGCCACCCATGCAGCAAAGCCAGTGGTAAGCTGTGGATTTGGTCAAATGTTGCTCCAATATGTAATATATGTCCCAATTGTCTCAATTTTCTGCCGCCCACGACAGGCCTTTCTGTTAAGTATGTGTATTGTCTAATCTGATCCCATCTATATTTGAGATCTTACAAGTCTGGCAAAGTTTTTTAGTGATTTCACTATTGTGCCCAATGAACTCGATATGATCAAATTGATAAAATCGTTTGCCTAAAAAAACAATGTATAGATATAAAACATGAACCCCTTGACAAGAACCATAAATTACACAAAGAGCCCCCCTAGTTGTAACAGTTATAACTTGAGCAAAAAACTTACTGATGTTAGAAATAAGATTTAGGCAAGTTATGTGAAAGAAAGTGTAAGTAAGTTATAAGAAAGTTGAAGACATTAAGTTGTTTAACTTGATTGCGTTGAGCAAAAAACACAGAAAACACAAGGGTTTTCATATTCTGGGCAGACAACCGCCGCAAGTCCACAGCCAGTCGCACTTTTGCAGCAAACACACGGCTTTGTCATCTTCGTGACACCACCACACCCTCAAGTCTGGCAGGACAGTTTCCGAGCCCTCAAATTTCTGCCATAGATAAAAGAACAACTTGATGCCAAGGAGGTCCAAGGAGACACGGGGATACACAGGGATACACCGGGATACATATGTATCCAAGTGTATCCCTGTGTGTCACACTTGGATACATATGGATACACGTGTATCCCTGTGTATCCCTGTGTATCTCTCTGTATCCCTGTGTATTCGATTCCCGAATTTATCGCAAAATTGATCCGTGTGTCTATACAAAAGCATGTTTTTCTATACAATCTTGCATTGAAGAGAAAAGTACTGGGCAGAACACCCGCCAAAAGAACCAACAAACCCTGCACAACATGAGCACTTATCAACCTTGTTTGTGAATAAACATGTTTTGTTGTACAGATTTCCAAAACAATCATAAACAATTAACTTACGTAACTTGTTTCTGAGTTCTGCAAGCTTCAACTTAGCATCTGTCATAACTATGTTATAAATTTCATATGTTTTTGAACTTACTTATATCTGTGTTATATCTTCCAAGGAGCTTATCGAACTTACCACAGGTCATTATAACATATGTTATCCCTAGTTACAACCTATGTTGATGAAGTTTTTAACTTCATCAACTTGGGTGGACTCTTACCTGAATCCATGTGACTGCCATCTTGTTGTCCCCAACAGCATCACGGCATAGAGCCCTACTGTTGTGGCCGCTTCATTTCGCCCGCTTTGAGCCCACGGGCACCATCTGGGCACGCCGCACGGTGGCTTCAAGCGAGCAGGACGACGAGTGACCGTCGCGGTGATGGTCGGCTCAGACAGGCGGGTAGGCACCTGAGAGCACAAAGTCCGGATCTGGGCTCTTCCAGATCTGGGTCAATCTTGACGGAACGCAAGAGTCTCCCAAATAAGCGTTCTTGATACTGCCAGGCCATCACGAAACTGCCCACCGATTCCTAGAGTTTTGAAGTACAATAATTCCCAATGAGATCCCAATGGCTCGGATTTTGGACAACTCTCCCTTGACCATCGCACAGGCGTCGCGCCCGACCATCGCACACACTCGAACATCCGCCTGTCTCGTGGGCTCACCGCCTGGCCGGGTATGCGAGCTACCCTTTCAAAGTCCTGTGGAAGTGCCATCTATCCACCCACGGTTCTACGAAACCCAAGATTTGAAAAGGTCTGTGAATAGCCAAACATGTTGAACGAGGAGCTTCCCCTATGCTCCCAGTAAGTGGCTGCTGTCCAAGTGGCTTCAATTTAATAAGTTGAACAAGGATCTTCCATCGGTTCCACGTTGGTCCATCTTCTTGACCATGAATGAATGTCTATAGAGCAATGTGATTGATTGAAGTCTTTTTCTACAAGGTTTTCTTTGCGTACCAGACCAGTCTGATTGACCGTCGCCGGCCGAAGACGAACCCCAAGCGTGCAACCTGAACATAAGGCCAAACCCCGAGTGAGAGGTGGATGTGTTGTTCAACTTCCAAAAGGGTGTCTGTCGTTGTTCTTTGCAATGAACATGGTAGGTTCAGAGCATAGATATGACACCAAGACAAACGTAGTATCCAATTGCCCCTGCTGCAACCACCAGTACAACAACCCTTGGCCGCCAATTCAACTTCATGATGGAACAAAAACTCGGTGGATGACACAAAGATTGTTCAAGTTTAAAGATGGGTTACGCGCTGCAAAAAGAAACCATCAGGAGGTGAAAGCAAATGGTGCAATTCCGTACATCTTTCACTCTGGTGTATTCTCCCCGCTCTTCGGTGCCAAATTGCGGGCCGCCCAGTTCTCGTGATCCCTACGCACTTGCCAACATTGTTTAACCCAGCTGAACTCAAAGCTGCAGCAGCCTTTTTGGGAGGGGGCTTGAACAAGTTTGTCCGTTTATGCTCCTCTGTGTGCTCAAAGGTGGATTCGTCACGAAACCTCCAAACAAATCAGCATTTGATGGCATACCAACAGCACATTAAGCACCAAGTTCTGCCTTAGTTTGCCACAATAATCCTTGCCACAATAACCCTTTCTAGGTCCTTGTCCTGGATGCATATTGGCTGCCCAAGGTCTACTGTAAACATACAGCGTGTCCCCGTCGTCCTCCCTCCAGAATCTCAAAAACAAACTTTCAAGAGTTGTTAATTATACCCATTTACAATACCTTCATAGCTTGAAACAACATGTAACCATGGTATATATTACCTGTTCGCGCACATAACTGCGTGGATAAATCCGAGCCGCCTGAGAAAATCGTGGGCTCTTGCACCTCGGCGCTCCGCCCGCTCCGGTGCTCGATCGACAGGCTTTCGCAGCAAATCTGATCAATGACCTCGTCAATGACAAGCATTCGTTTCGGTTGGAACAACCCCCAGATAAATTAGAACAACTTGAAGTTGACACCAGAACAGCAAAAGTAATCATCGTTAAAAAGTGTCCTTCAGAACAAGGCACTTGCCAATCCCCAGAAACAACCGCACACACAAGATCAAACATGCATCATGTTTCAAAAAAACTTCACACCCTCCGCCCGGCTCCGAAAACAGGGGACCCCGAGCCGTCTCGACCTCGTCGGTCTCCGAAACCGGACTGGTGGGAAGCTCGGTGGGCACCTGGCCACCAGCGGTGTCAGTGCTGGGGCCCGAAACGGACGACCGTGAGAACGAGGGACAGGACACCACCAAGGTCAGGAAGCTCGCAGTGGATCTGCCAGCAGTGCTGACTCGTGAGTAATAGCGCCATTAGTCAATACATGTCAATAGGTCTTTTTTTCTACTTATTGAGGGCTCTTGCTCCTCGGTGTTGTGAGTATCGGTGGGTAGTCTTGAGCATAGAATCTATGCCACCAAAACCACTGTCGCAATGGGCGCAGAACACAACAGGTTCGCAAATCTGGACATTACGTACGTTAATCGATCTACACCTTAATGTATAGGGAGCTCGGGCTGCACTGCTTTGCTGTGCACGATTGCAAGCGATCAATGTGATAGTGTATGTTCATGCATGCATGTTCTATTGAATATATTGGATGATGCAGGGAAAAAGAGTTGCAACATGTTGTTCGAAACACATCAAGTGTTTCAATTGTCAAAGGGAGCAAAATAAATTGTGCCACAAATCCGGAAGTTGCTGGTCCACCTGGCAGAAAAAACATCACATCGGTTTGCACGAGCAAGAAACTATAGTGTCTGGATGCTTCCGTCCGATGCTGCTGCTACACACTAAAAACTGCATCCTTAGTTCCACCCATCACAGGGATCTACATACGTCACATATACCCTCTGAGCAGGTTTCGATCTTTGGGGTGAACGTGGCATTCTCGGGCCAATCTCAAAAATGCAAATGTCCATTTCTTCACCAGTATCAAACTCGTATCCCACCCTCGGGGGTCCCCCGTGTAGACTCTGTAGCTATACTGCTATACCTCCAAAGGTTTAACTCCTAATGGAGAAGCCCTGCCGCAACGCACCGAAGAAGCACAGAAGCCGAGCCACAGGCATCTCGGAGGGTGACCCAATCGAGGACGAGACCAAGGCTGAAGAGTGAAGGCCTTGGGTGGAAGAATAAAGCAAACGGAGCAAATGGAGTGGATAGCACAATGAGCTTAGACGAAAAATACACTTGATAATAGCACAGCAAGCATGTCTTTGAGTGTTTGACCATGATCCTGGAAAAGAAAGTGAAACCGCGTCAACACATGTGTCAACACCCGCCCTGTTTTCCGTGTGGGCTGGTCGGTGGCTGCATTGGAATAGGGAGACCTGCCAGTTAGACCCCCTGGAAGAAGGAACAAATTTTCATAACGTCTGCAAGCAACTTCCTTGTAATCGCATACGTAGTACGTATGACCAATCTCTAACCCCGAGTGGTGATGATCTGCAACTCTACTGGCAAAAAGACTTCAATCAATCCTGCAGCCGACACCGTTCTACGCCGCACAGCTCGTGCGCCACGTGGCACGCCTGCGGACCTCAACGGCATTGGCACCTCGGCCTGCATGGCGGAGGATGGTGACCTATGTAGGTATTCTGCAAACCGCTGTCGGGTCCATCTGGGTATAGCTTCAAGTCAACCAGTTCCAACGATTACAGTACATCCGGGAATGTGCGGGGGATTGTAGTCTCACCATTTAGACTTCAAGAAAAAGCTGAACAACGGAAAGTATATTTATCCTTTGATCCACATGTTCAAACCATTCCTTATGTTCAAACCATCCCTTCATCCATGCCCATTGACTGCACGCTTCAGCAAGGACGAGCACTCCACGGATGGGACAGTTGGGTTGGTGGGGCTTGTGCCAAAAGTGACGAAGACTTGACCACCACATGGCACATCAGAACCTTGGACTGAATGAGTCTCTGCCCCATTGGTGGATCAAAACAAGAGCTGGCTCGTGGCTGTTCCTCGCCTCGCCGGACCCACGAACAACAGTCCCACGAACGATAGCCGTCAACTGCCTCTTGCACCGTTGCCTCTTCTTCGCCTGATTGTTTCCAAGGCCGTGCGAAAGAGATCTCTGTCATTATCATGTCTCTCCCATGTGTAATGTCGACATATGTCAACAAGAGTCATCATAGGCGGCCATTTTTATACCCTCACTCACTCACCATCGCTCACCAAACGATCCAAGCATGTGGCCACCCCACAAATTGCTTAGCTGCCAAACCGATCCGCGATCCCCAGTTGCAGCTCTCAGCTCGGACAACCAAAATTGCAAGCTCGCCCGCCTTCAGACAAGGGCGCAATGGGCACAGGTAGTGGTGCCTCATGATCGGCGCTGAGAAAGACAATCCGGCAAGACTATGGAAGTCTTCTGTACGAAGGGACCGTAAACCAATGGATACTGATCTTCATCAAACTGAGTCTTCAAGTACTTCAGAGGGTGCAGAATAGTGTGTATATTTGTTTGTGGAGTTCATCATCTTTCTAGAAATTGCCCTGCGTTCTCTATCACGAAACAAATCGTTGAAGAGACTTTGGGAGGTGCTGCACAACCCAATCCTAACCGGAGATTTGCGGAAGCACCTCACTCCCAATCCTGCGCTCCCCGCCTCTCCAATGTCCATCGCAGGGCTGGTGGGCATCTCTGTGGGCACCTCGATTGCAGCGCGGAGAACGATGAGTATGTCGACTTGGGTGTTGCTGTGCAAACATCGAAAAAACATGTTTCTGCCAAAACCCTTCATGTGAACATCACGTGCATCCACCTGGCTGCTTCTGTGGCTTCGCTGGGGTTCCGCGCTGGCATCTCGGAGGGCGACTCTGGCGCCGAAGAGCCGGGGCCCATTGCCGAAGAGTGGAGCCCTGGCACCGACGCCGTAACTGGTCCTCGGGCACCCTGCACCTAATATGGCCAGTGTAGCGGCCGTCCAAGCAAAATTCAACAAACACTGCAAATATTGGGGGTTGTGAACTCATTGCTAGCTGCTAGTTGTGGTAGAGCCTCCTACATTTTAACCTATGAAACTATGATTGTTTGCCTCCTCCGACCGTGCTGACTCGTTAGTCCGTTGCAAAATAGCGACGCAGGATCATAAATCATAAATATATTCCTGACAACAACTAACACATGAGGTCTTGCTCGTCTGCATGAAGTTCGACGCGCTCCGAAACCTGGCCAATCCGCCAATCCGCCTGAAGCCTGCCAGGGCGGGATCATCTCTTCTGCCTGAGAGGGATCGGCCGCGTGTGGAGCGAAACAGGGGTGTCAGTCCTTCAAAATACTTCAGGCTTGTTCTGGGCTTCAGTTCTGGACGCGCCACCTTCCCACACCAAAAGATGTAGAGAAAACAAAGTTAGTAGAGAAAATTGCAGTTTGCAGGCCAGTGGAAAGCACACAACCTTTCTTTCGCACACCTGGTCACTTGTCACCTCTGAACGTTCAGACACCTCTGATCTCGGACCTGCCGGCTTCAGACGAGTCAACGAGAGACTCCGCCGGTCTCTGTGCCCAGCCCATCTGGGCCCGTCCACCTGTGCTGCACGCTCACCTGTGGAGGTGAAAACGAACAAGACTGACATGGGTTCGGGATGATTTCATACCCAAAGAGAGTGAACCTGGAGTGGCTTTGAAGTTGCAAGTCCACTCATTCATGAACAGTGAACTAGTCTAACTAGTCTCTCAAGCACAGCATTTGGGTGAGCTCGGAAGATGATAAAGTCCACCCAATTTGACCGATGACGCAAAGCAGTCGATTGAGTCTGAACATTTTTAGAGAATGCAATGATATATCTGTGGATCAACAAAACTCACATACACAGGTTAAACCAGTCCGACCATTGGAAAGTTGGGTCTGTATGTTTATGAAATGTAGGGGCTTGTGCCTCACAGTCTGCAGATATACGATCCACTGCGATTAAATCGGTTTCAACACTGAACCAAATGTGTGATTCTTGATGGTCCTTTCTCTTGTTTAATTGTTCGTTTTACCCAAGACGAGGATCCGGGAAAGGACTCCGACTTTCGATGCTGCTTCTTCCCATTCCTGATCTGCAACTCTGCACT